ATAATAATAAGAAGAAGAAGAAGAAGAAGAAGAAGAAGAAGAAGAAGAAGAAGAAGAAGAAGAAGAAGAAGAAGAAGAAGAAGAAGAAGAAGAAGAAGAAGAAGAAGAGCCATTATTATAAACCAAATTTAATAATAAAAATCTACTGATTGTAATAAATATATACTGATCATTACAGCCTCCCCTTTTCTAGTTCCTAGTTTTCTACTATTACAAGCAGAATGAATGGAGCACTTTATTTCCAAAAACACAGAATTGTCCCCTGAGGCTATACTGGACTGCTATCATGTTCATGAGTTGGTTCTTTTTCTTATTAATCATGAAGGTTAAAATGCATTATTTAATGTGAAAATGACAGTTCAGTCATTAGTGCTCCATGTAATCTGGATGACCATCTCACCATCAAAGACTACCACATGGGGGCATAAACTATATGAACTGGCTCCATATTTAAAGAACAAAGGCAATCATTAAGGGATCTTTAAATATCTGCTAGTCCAGATACCTTAAATAAAAGTATCATTAACATGAGTTGTTGTTCACACTGCCAGAGTGTGATTAAACAACACAGATGATAAATACAATACAGTAACATTCCATGAAATACCCCCAAAAGTTATACAGTCTATCTCTTTATCTTACTCTTATATATATCCTGCTAAATGGGGTGTGTGGGGGTGTTGTAAGCTGTTTGCAACTTTCCTGTCTGTGAATGCAGCTTTTCCAATACAGAGTCATGAATATGTATGATCATCCTGAGTGAGCTTTAGACTTCTGGATGGCTGGATGGAGACCTATACAGATTTAAGTGTCAGGCAAGATTAAAGCAAACCCCCAGTTAATATTCACATTATCCTCTTGTTCTTCTCCAAAGGACAGATAGAAAATTGAACATATTCTGAAGTCTATAATCCGACCAACACTTTAAGTACTTTATTGTATATTCAGCTTTAGAAAGAGTACTTCTAAAGTTTCCATGGTTACTACAAATAGGAACATGAATCCATTTGTTGCCAAAAGATACAAAAGAAAACACAGCAATCCCAGTAGCTCCAATTTCGCAGGTTTAGCTTTCTAAACCAGAATACCAAAAGCAGTACTACAACACAGGAGATCCTGCTAATATTATGACACAGTAACCATTTCTGTTTAAGAAGCAGTAGATCAACTATGCAAACATAAGGAGAAACTGATTTTTAAATTAATTTAGCCCACTTCCATGAGACCTAAAGATATAATTATACAAGCAGAGCTTATACTTGTTCACTTGGGGAATAGTTCTGATCAAGCATACTCTTTAACTGGTACACACTTCCTTTTCATGCCCAGTGTTATTCTACTAAGCAATAAAGAGCTACATTTTTACAAACAAGTCAGTAATACAAAGCATTCCTTTCTCCATAAGAATTCTAAGGGAACTATGCCTCATGAGGCAACCACAGAGTTCTTTAATCTTGGTCAGGAGCTCAGGTCAGATCCCCTCTGAAAATCTCTCAGGGGGCTGCTGTTTTCCTCAAATGTGCAGTAAACAAATGTAACACAAATAAAACTAAGGAGAAGCTTTAAGAAATTGGTGCAGGGCACCCATCTGGACTGGGAGCAAAATATTAAACAGAGCCCCATGTAATTGCTTTCACTTGCAAGTAAAGACAGCTGTGGTGTGCTTTTTAAGAACTGTGGATGACAAAATCTACTTTGGCTCCAATACAGAGGGAAAGTTACGAGGAGGGATGGGGCCTTAATCCTCACGCATTCATGGAGCCCATCCATTACTCTGCCTGACGTGTCCCTTCAAGTGTCCCAAACAGCTACTTTTCCTTCTGCTCTCCCTTTTTTGCTATTTCCATCTGAGATAGCTCCAAGCCACATAAAACTATCCAAAAGAGAGAGAGAGAAAAAATACTAACTGCTGAGGGTGAATTACTGCAGCTGTATGTTTAAGATTCTTGTATATAATTTCTATTAGCCAGTCTTTGGGCATGTTGCTAATTGATTTGAACTAGGTAACAGTGTTTTATAATTCTTTTACATTGAAAGCACCATACAGTGGTGCCTTGATTTATGGCCACAATCCATTCCAGAAGATGGGCGTAACTCGAAATGGTCGTAAGTCGAAGCACCATTTCCCAAAGAAATGCATTGGAATATGATTAATCCATTCCATCATAAAAAACAAAACAAACACCCACACACACACACACACACACACACACACACAAACAGCCAGCCTCATTGTAACACAATGGGGCTAAAAACAAATTAAAAAATACACACACAGCCAGTCCCATCAGAAGGCGATGGGGCTGAAAAAAACCCAAACAACAACAAATAGAGCAAGACCCATCAGAACGCAATGGGACTGAAAAAAAAAACACACCAAAACACCAACAAACATCACAGCTAACCCAGAAGCAGAAAGCAGCACCAGGCAGTACGAAGCCTCTCTGCAAGTGCACACACTTTAATCATTGGGGAGAAAGATCTACAAAGAAGCTCTTCGCCAACCAACAGTTAGTATTCTAATTTGAATTCCCCACCTTTTTTCCCTGGCTTTTTTGTTTGCAACTCAAAGCGATTCCCCACCTTTTTTCCCTGCCTTTTTTGTTTGCAACTCAAAGTGCCAGTCGCAAGTCGAAGCAAAATTTTGCGGCTGGAGCTGACGCAACTCGAAATGGTCATATGTTGGGATGGTCGTGAGTCGAGGCACCACTGTATCAAAGAATGGATGCTGTAAAGGCTAGCCTCCATTTTTTTCTACTAAATATCCCCTATGAATGTTTGTTTTCTCCATCTTATTATGTTAGCAAAGTTTATGTTTGTTTTCTCCATCTTATTATGTTAGAAAAGTTTTGGAACATTGATTGATTGATTAATTGATTGATTGATTGATTGATTGATTAAATTTTTATTCCGCCCATTTAGACCATGTCTACTCTGAGCGGCTTACAATAGGAATATCATAATTAAAAATAATAATTTAAGTTAGTATCATTCAAGATGGAAAAAGTATAAACAAAAATTGAAATAGAAAAGTAAAGATTAAGTATTGACAGGAGGGAAGGCCTGTCTAAAGAGCCAGGTCTAAAGTTGGCTCTTAAAAACACTGAGCGAGGGAGCCAGGCGAATCTCTGATGGGAGATTGT